CTTTAATATTTTGAATTGTTCTAAATTAAAGTTAGAGAAACGTTATCTTTAGTTTCTAAAGTAAGCTGTTGTTGTTAAGAGCTTAAGAAACTCGAATTAAAGCTTAAGTTAAGCTTATAATCAATGAAAGCTTTAATATTTTAAGGTTTAATCTAAATGAAAATTTAAAAATACGTTCTCTCCAGGAATAAAAGCTTATGAAACCATTTACATGATCTAGGAAAGCTTTAATATTTTGATTTGATTTTAATTAAAATTAGATCTTTGTGGCAAGTTTTCAACATAAATGCTTAAGAAACCATTTAAAAGATACACAAAAGCTTTCATATTCTGATATGATTTAAATTAAAGTTAGAGAGTCGTGTATTCAAGATTTTGTGGTTAGCTTGCACCATAAAAGCTTAGGAAACCATTAACAAGATTAAAGAAAGCTTTAAACTTAAGATTAATTAAAGCTTTAAGCCTAAGATCAATAAAAGCTTTCAAGGATGAAAACTTGTCAACAAAAAGAATAAAAGCTTTAGACTGAAGATAAAATATAGCTTCAAGATTAATAAAAACTTTAAGCAAAGATCAATAAAAGCTTTAAGCTTAATACCAATGAAAACTTTAAGCTGAAAATCAATAAAAACTTTCAACTTAAGATCATAAAATCTTTCAGGGATAAAAGCTTTAGAAACAAAATCAATTAAAGCTTTAATCTCAGTATTAAAGAAAGCTGTAAGCTAAAAAGCAATGAAAGCTTTAATATTAAGACTGATTTAAGCTTTAATTATAGGAACAAGGAACGACTTAAGCTAAATATCAAAAAAGCTTTCAGAGATAAAATCTTTAAAAATAAGATCAAGGAAAACTTAAAGCTCATGATCAAGGATAGCTTTTAGCTTAAGATCAATAAAAGCTTTAAGCTTACGATAAACAAAAACTTTCGAAACTATATCTATAAAAACTTTAAGTCTATAAAAACAATTTTAAGGCGGCTGGTACAGAAAGTTTAGATTGAAGCTTTAAAGCTAAAAACAAAGAAAATGTAGCAAAACAAAAAGCTCTGGCTTAACCCTGAATAAACATTTTAGTTTTTTTTTAAGAATACCTTAAAAGCTTAAATTGGAGAAAAAGCTTATGGAAAGCTTTAAGTTTTTAAAAAGCTTTTTTGAAATGTAAAGCTTTAAGTATAGGGAATTAATGTTTTGATAAAAAGTTTTTCAAAAATTTTAAGCTTTTTTTCTAACTTCAATATTCGTACATATTAAAGTCATATTATGAAATAAAAACTGTATTGTGGCCCATTTAATAACACAATGTTGTTTTTGCATTTAAAGTCTGCTGCAAATATGACTCATTTTGTACTTTAAGCCATTTGTTGTTTTTTTTTTTCTCTTTTAGCCCGTTTATTTTTGCGGTTGTTTTAATAACAAAATAAAGTACTTTTTATAGACATTTGTTGTAGTTGTTTTACAGTTGAAAATAATACAAAAAGTAGTGTTACCTGATTTCTTAACTAACAACAAGAATTGAACGTTCACATTTCAAATCAAAAAAAAAGAGGCTTGTCAAAGTTTATGAGTCAAACTGGCAATATATTTCAATTTAAAAAAATATTAAAGTTGTAAAATTGAATATGTAAAAGGTTTATGGAACACGCATTAAATCAGTGATACAAGAGAACAGCTTTTGGTTTGGTTAAATAAATGTGAAGGCGATTTGTAAGTGAAAAAGTTTATTTATTTGTTGAAAGCTTTACAATGAAATCATATTTATGTTAAAGGTAATATGGTTTTAAGAAGGGGATTTAAATCTATGTTTGTCTAGAAGAACACGTGTTTGTTTTTTCGTAATTAAATTAAAGTGTAATAAAAGCTCTAAAAAACGTTTATGTTTTTTCTTATAATTAAAAAGGTTATTCTTAATGGAAAAAATGTTCGAATAACCCTTCTGCCGGTTTTCTTAAATAATTATTTTTGTTCAAAAAAAAAAAAACAAAATTCCTGTAAAATTTATTATTGGTTTTAAAATAAAATGCCAATATTGCAAATTCCTTAAAACACAAAAAAACACAAAATATTTTTTTAAATGACAAAAAAAAAAAACAGCGTCTTGAAAAAATTATTTTCGTATAAATTGCTTACAAATTACATGAAGTGAATGTATTTGGTATTTTGTTTTTTTATTTTTTTTTTACGGGGAAGTTTAAAATTAAAGAAAAGACAGACAGAAAGACGGACGGACAGACAGACAGACAGTCATAAGTTTTTGTTAATAACAACTGTAAACAGTTGAGGACAAAATAAACATGATTTTATTATTCAATTTAAAGAAAAATACTTTAACTTCTAAGAAACTTTAAGCTTTAAGTAAAAAATTAAAAAAAGTTTAGGCTTTACGTTGAGAACAAACTGTGCTTTGAATGGAAGTTATAGATCAATGAAAGCTTTTTGCCTTAAAATTAATTATTACAATCTTATTATAAACCTTATAACAGTCTAAGGTAAAATATAGGAAATATTTAGCTAAAAAGCTTTAAAAGAGATAGCTAAATAAAAGCTTTATAAGAGATTGTAAGAAAATGTTTCAATAAAAGTTTTAAGCATTATAAATGCTTTAAATAAAGTTCAGTTTATTTAAAAGATATTTCTGTAAAATTTTGGCGAAAGCTTAATACTTTAAGGAAGAGTTCGAATAAAGCTTTTAGCAAAAATGTGTATGAGAAAGTTTTGGAAAGGATAAATATGTAAAAAAAATTACGCTTTATAAACCTTTAAGCTTGAAAAGAGGCTAAATCTTAAGAAAATATTATTGTTTCTTAAAAAGCTTTAAAAACGTTTAAGTTTTAGAAATCATAAAGTTAAAAAAGCTTTATAAAATAAAAAAAGCTTTATTTTTTAGTAAAGCTTTAAGCTTTTAAAAAGATTTAAACATATTTGAGTGTAAAAAGCTTTAAAAATCTTTAAGTTTAAAAAACTTTAAACATCTTTAAGTTTAAAAAGCTTTAAACACCTTTAAGTTTAAAAAGCTTTATAATTAAAAAACTTATAGTTGATAAAAAAACTTTAAAACTTTAAGTTGATATAAAAAATCATAGTTTGTTAAAAAGCTTTAAAAATATTTAAGTTTTAAAAGCTTTAAACATCTTTATGTTTAAAAAGCTTTAAACTTAAAAGACATTAAGTTGATATAAAAAAAACTTCAAGATGAGCTTTAAAAACATTTAAGCTTTAAAAAGTTTATGCCATTAAAAAAGCTTTAAAAATATTTAAGCCTTAAGATGGTTAAAAAAAAATTATAAATTAAAAGAGCTTCAATCTTTAGGAAGTTTAAAAAAAGCTTTAAAAATCTTTAAACTTAAAAAGCTTTAAACTTAAAAAGCTTTAAATTGTTGTAAAGAAATTAATTTTTAAAAAGCTTTTTAAGCTATAAAAAACTTCATTCTTTATTTAAAAAAATATAAAATAAAAGAGCTTTAATCATTAGAAAAGCTGTAAGCTTAAAAAATCTTTAAATATTATTTTTAAAAGCCTTTTAAGCTATAAAAGACTATATTCTTTATAAATGCTTTAAAAAATTATAAAATAAAAAAGCTTTAATCTTTAGAAAAGCTGTAAGCTTTAAAAAATCTTTAAGTTTGAAAGGCTTTAAATTTAAAAAGCTTTAAGTTGGTATTGGGAAAAAATTAGTGTTTGTTAAAAAGCTTTAAAAACCTGTAAGCTTTAAAAAACTTTTAAAAACTTTATGTTATGAAACAAACAATTAACTGTAAAAAAGCTTAAAAACTTAATAAATAAGTTACCTCAAAGCTTTGATCATCAAAACAAACGATTCTGTTTCTTTGTCTTATTTATCTTTCAAGGGAAAAGGCTACAATCTAAATTTAGGTTTTAGGAAAGCTTTGCCGATTACAACTTTTTCTTTTGATTGTTTTCTTTGTTTTGCCCTTCACTGTTTGGATTTTAAAAGATACATATAAAAACGAGTTTGTTTTATTTTTACCCAGTTATCGATAGGTTGTAATAACAAATTAACACAACACATTTAACATGTAAAAAGGAATTTAAATTCAATAAAAATTTTGTGGAAAATAATTTAAAATAAAAGCTAAAAATAGCAGTAAATAGTTTAAGGAAAAAAAGCTTTTTAGAGCAGCAATTAAATGAACGTCATAAATGAATTGTTTTAAACAATAAAGGAGGTGAAAGACTAGGTAGATGTATGTAAAATTATCAACTTTAACAAAACGAGGGGACCATAGACCAGGGCATACTATAACCCTGGTTTGTGGTCCCCTCTTTTTTTATAAACAATGTCTTTTCAAGTTTTTCTTTTCTTATTTATTTATAAATAAAACAAAATTCTCTCATATTTGTAATTCATTTATTCATAGGTTTTCTTGTTTATTACCTTCATACATACTACAGACACGATGTTTTTTTTCTGTATTTAAACAAATATTTATTTAGAAAGTTTTTATCTGTAAAATGCAAGTAGAAATGAAATAAAACAGAAAACCAAATACTACTTCTCTCATTACATTCTTTTTCAAATACAACAAAAATCCCATAAGAAAAGTTTCCACAGATTATACAAAAAAGAAAAAAAAAATCTCAAAACCAACCCATGACACATTCATCACACACTATTTCTACTACTTCTACACTCACTGCTGTCATACAAATGTCAAAACTTTGTAATGTATAATTAAAACTTTACACCCCGGTTGGTTGCATCGTATGATAGAAAGGTGTTGCAGCTTTAAGTAAATTATCTTATAATTTTTTTTTTCTTTTAGAGAACAAAAAAAAAATGTAAAGAAAACCCTAAATCAACACATCTCTATTAAGGTTGTTTAAATAATGCAGCAGATTTCAAGTTGTTGTTAAATAAATACTTAACATAGTTTTTTCTTTAACTTAAAAAATAATTGTTTATGGGTTTTTTCTTTAAATAACTTCTTTATGTGGAAAAGTTATGAAAAATATGTTTTTAAAAAATGTCACTCCTCTTACCTTAATTGAAATCTCTTGGAGTTATAAAGTTCGTGGAAAATTTTCCTTGAGGTTTTTCTTTTCAGACTGAAAATAGAGAGAAAGAAAATAATGAAATTATTAAATGATTTTAGAAATTAAGGGAAAAGTCTAAAAAATGGATTCAGAAAATAATATACTTATACCAGACTAGACTAGAATATAGTTTGAACTATAGCCCGGACTATAGACTAGTTTTAGTTCGGCCCCAGATCAGCTCTAGTTCAGTTTTAGTTGAGTTCTAGTTCAGTTCTAGTTCAGTTCTAGTTCAGTTCTAGTTCAGTTCAGTTCTAGTTCAGTTCTAGTTCAGTTCTAGTTCAGTTCTAGTTCAGTTCTAGTTCAGTTCTAGTTCATTTCTAGTTCATTTCTAGTTCAGTTCTAGTTCAGTTCTAGTTCAGTTCTAGTTCAGTTCAGTTTTAGTTCTAGTTCAGTTCTAGTTCAGTTCTAGTTCAGTTCTAGTTCAGTTATAGTTCAGTTATAGTTCAGTTCTAGTTCTAGTTTAGTTGTAGTTCAGTTCTAATTTTAGACTATTGGCTTGACTGTAGATCAGACTAATGACTAGACTATAGACTAGACTATAGACTAGACTATAGACTAGACTATAGACTAGACTATAGACTAGACTATAGACTAGACTATAGACTAGACTATAGACTAGACTATAGACTAGACTATAGACTAGACTATAGACTAGACTATAGACTAGACTATAGACTAGACTATAGACTAGACTATAGACTAGACTATAGACTAGACTATAGACTAGACTATAGACTAGACTGTAGACTAGACTGTAGACTAGACTATAGACTAGACTATAGACTAGACTATAGACTAGACTATAGACTAGACTATAGACTAGACTATAGACTAGGCTATAGACTAGACTATAGACTAGACTATAGACTAGACTATAGACTAGACTATAGACTAGACTATAGACTAGACTATAGACTAGACTATAGACTAGACTATAGACTAGACTATATACTAGACTATAGACTAGACTATAGACTAGACTATAGACTAGACTATAGACTAGACTATAGACTAGCTATAGACTAGACTATAGACTAGACTATATACTAGACTATAGACTAGACTATAGACTAGACTATAGACTAGACTATAGACTAGACTATAGACTAGACTATAGACTAGACTATAGACTAGACTAGACTATAGACTAGACTATAGACTAGACTGTAGACTAGACTGTAGACTAGACTATAGACTAGACTATAGACTAGACTATAGACTAGACTATAGACTAGACTATAGACTAGACTATAGACTAGACTATAGACTAGACTATAGACTAGACTATAGACTAGACTATAGACTAGACTATAGACTAGACTATAGACTAGACTATAGACTAGACTATAGACTAGACTATAGACTAGACTATAGACTAGACTATAGACTAGAACTATAGACTAGACTATAGACTAGACTATAGACTAGACTATAGACTAGACTATAGACTAGACTATAGACTAGACTATAGACTAGACTATAGACTAGACTATAGACTAGACTATAGACTAGACTATAGACTAGACTATAGACTAGACTATAGACTAGACTATAGACTAGACTATAGACTAGACTATAGACTAGACTATAGACTAGACTATAGACTAGACTATAGACTAGACTATAGACTAGACTATAGACTAGACTATAGACTAGACTATAGACTAGACTATAGACTAGACTATAGACTAGACTATAGACTAGACTATAGACTAGACTATAGACTAGACTATAGACTAGACTATAAACTAGACTCTAGACTGGACTATAGACTAGACTATACTGTACTGTAGACTAGACAGTAGGCTAGACTTTCGCTTCTTATTTGCCTTTAAAAATTGAACTGATTCCCATTACATTAGAAATAATGTCTTATTTGACGTGTCAAACATTTTAATGATTTTCCCCTCATAAATGAATTTCAAAATGTTTTTCAAAAGAAATTTATTTTTCTATTTAATAAAACCAATTGAGCAATATTACGAAATTACAACACTTTTACTTAAACATTTCCTAGTAATAACACTTTCCAAAAATTTAAACTAAATTTAATTATTTTCCCATTTTAAATAATATGTTTTTCTTCTCTGATAAAAATTAAATTGTACATTGATTAAAATCTTTACGTCGTACTGCGTTGTTGATTGTCTTGAATTTTAAATTTATTTTATCGTTTTTTTTTTCATTTCTGTTACATGAAAACAATGTAATTCCTCATTTCACTTACAATATCTAACCTCAATTTTTTGTAACGTCTTCTTTCTTTTTCAAACCACGATCATAGACATAAAATATGTTTAGGCCTTTAAAACTGAAACCATAAATATTTTTTACACATTCCATACTAAGTTTAATAATAAAAAAAAAAAAAACAGAAGAAGTAATACGATTTGACAAGCAAATGTCATTTTAAAGTAATTTCAAATAGACCAAAAACATGTTGAACAATTCAACACGATCATCATTATTATCAAAGTGAGTACTTCAAATATACCTACTCTCCGTGTACTCAGTACAACTTAAAATGATATTGTTGAAAAACCAGTAGACCAATATCAGAGAGTAATAAAATATTGACAACCTCTAGTTGAAAACAACATTACAATATAACTGATGAGTTTACTTTTGAACATTATTAACCATCTGGTAATTAGTTTCTAAACATGTCAAGAATTAAATACTGTTGCTGTCAATTCATTAGAAATAGAAGAAATTAAAAAACAGTTAATTGTTAGAAAAAAGTTAAAAAAAGCTTTCAAGCAAGTTAAGTTTTAATTTGATTTCAATCTAGACAGGGGGCCCAATTTAATTGTTGAACTCTATCTTACTCTATTATATGGTTGAATTAGAAATTAAATGAATTAAATGAATAGCAACCATTACTTCACTTTCTTTTTTTATAAATTTTTTCTATTTTCTTCTTTTTATTAAAGAAACTTGAAATTGATTTTCATTAAAGCTTTTTTGTTGTTCACAACTTTCATTCTTGTCTAAAAAGTTAATAAACAATTGGCAGGAATTGTATCCGGCTTTTTGAATTAGAAGGGGTTTGATTTAAGTGAATGACAAGACCTATTGTATAGAGACTCAATGCAATATATAGTCTAGTCTGAACTGAACTAGAACTGAACTAAAACTGAACTAGAACTGAACTAGAACTGAACTAGAACTGAACTAGAACTGAACTAGAACTGAACTAGAACTGAACTAGAACTGAACTAGAACTGAACTAGAACTGAACTAGAACTGAACTAGAACTGAACTAGAACTGAACTAGAACTGAACTAGAACTGAACTAGAACTGAACTAGAACTGAACTAGAACTGAACTAGAACTGAACTAGAACTGAACTAGAACTGAACTAGAACTGAACTAGAACTGAACTAGAACTGAACTAGAACTGAACTAGAACTGAACTAGAACTGAACTAGAACTGAACTAGAACTGAACTAGAACTGAACTAGAACTGAACTAGAACTGAACTAGAACTGAACTAGAACTGAACTAGAACTGAACTAGAACTGAACTAGAACTGAACTAGAACTGAACTAGAACTGAACTAGAACTGAACTAGAACTGAACTAGAACTGAACTAGAACTGAACTTAGAACTGAACTAGAACTGAACTAGAACTGAACTAGAACTGAACTAGAACTGAACTAGAACTGAACTAGAACTGAACTAGAACTGAACTAGAACTGAACTAGACTGAACTAGAACTGAACTAGAACTAGAACTGAACTAGAACTAGAACTGAACTAGAACTGAACTAGAACTGAACTAGAACTGAACTAGAACTGAACTAGAACTGAACTAGAACTGAACTAGAACTGAACTAGAACTGAACTAGAACTGAACTAGAACTGAACTAGAACTGAACTAGAACTGAACTAGAACTGACTAGAACTGAACTAGAACTGAACTAGAACTGAACTAGAACTGAACTAGAACTGAACTAGAACTGAACTAGAACTGAACTAGAACTGAACTAGAACTGAACTAGAACTGAACTAGAACTGAACTAGAACTGAACTAGAACTGAACTAGAACTGAACTAGAACTGAACTAGAACTGAACTAGAACTGAACTAGAACTGAACTAGAACTGAACTAGAACTGAACTAGAACTGAACTAGAACTGAACTAAACTGAACTAGAACTAAACTAGAACTGAACTAGAACTGAACTAGAACTGAACTAGAACTGAACTAGAACTGAACTAGAACGAACTAGTGAACTAGAACTGAACTAGAACTGAACTAGAACTGAACTAGAAACTGAACAAGAACTGAACTAGAACTGAACTAGAACTGAACTAGAACTGAACTAGAACTGAACTAGAACTGAACTAGAACTGAAACTAGAACTGAACTAGAACTGAGCGAACTGAACTAGAACTGAACTAGAACTGAACTAGAACTGAACTAGAACTGAACTAGAACTGAACTAGAACTGAACTAGAACTGAAGAACTGAACTAGAACTGAACTAGAACTGAACTAGAACTGAACTAGAACTGAACTGGAACTGAACTAGAACTGAACTAGAACTAGAACTGAATTAGAACTGAACTAAAACTGAACTAGAACTAGTCTTGTCTATACTCTAGTCTATAGGTTAGTCTATAATCTCATCTATAGTCTAGTCTATCAAGTTACAGGCGAATTTGTTTCTAGACGGTATATGAAGTTCTGGTTTTCAATCTAAACGAGTACTAACCACCCAATTTCCCATGCAATACTTTCTGTATAACCCCTTTTAGGTCATTTACCTTTTCATGGCTTTTTGTATCTTGGGAAAAAATATAAAAACTAAATGTTTCAAAACCTGTCACTATTTTAACTTAATTGGCTTCTAGTGACGCAAAAAAAAAACATAAACAAAATTACACCATTTCCAGCATAGGCACAGAAAAAACTGATCCCTTATACACAATAAATTTTTTTATAAAAAGTTTACCTTCAGTGGGAAATAGTATAGCTACAAAAATTGTACTTCTGATAACGTATGAACAGTAAAATTTACATTTCAACA